AAGCTGAATACGTTAGATCCCTCATCTTAGATGAAGTGATTAAAATCATTAGGATGTCAGTTTTAAGATTTATCTTCTCTATGTGACAACACAGCATCAGAATGGAGGACTGTTGTAGGGCGTATTTATAGCTATTAATGTGTCATGCGGATCTTGAATATGGTACGCTTAAAGTCAGTTGAGTGGTTGGATTATAGGAACATACAGAGCAACGGCATTTCTTAACATCAGTGTTTGAAATAAACGACTTAACCTTATAAAGATACAATTAGATATGCCAGGGCAGATAGGGGCTATAGGGTCTAGCTATTACTGTGCAGCATATGACAACTTTGGTTTTGGGTTATGGATGTGTTGACGGTTTCCTAGATGTCGAGTTCCATAATGTGATTATTATATTGGAGACTTAACGACAGTTAAATGTTTACGGGTCCCTTAACGCCGTAACGCTATAGGGGAGACCGGGGCTAGTTGGGTAAGTTGCCCCCCCGTCAATTTATGAAAAAGTAACTACGAGGTAAAAAAACTGGCCACATACTTTTGCAAAGTGACCATAGCCTACAATGCTAAGGAAGTGTCGGACGTCAAAAAGTTTTACTTAAGCGGTGAGTCGAAATAAACGATTTTTGCACCTAAAAGTAATTTTGTTTAGGATATTTAAAAATCTATTTTCATAGGCTTTTGATCGAATATAAGATATGTATAGGGCATCAAACTGAAGCTCATTGTTTCAGGTTTCAAAGAGATGTATCATCGTTGCTCATTCTAGCACCATAAATGGCTACCATCCTTTAAAATAAATAATGTGCACCCGGGGCTAGTTGGCCCCCTTGACTCGGGGCAAGTTGGGCCCTCATATTACCCACAAACCTTTGCGCGCAACGCTGTTTGAAATAAACAAGTTGGTGAAATTGACAAAGCTTGCCATCTGATTGATTTTTTAAATTTTCTCTCTGGTATCTTTTTGAAAATTTATATTAGAAATATCCTGTTGATTGTAAGTATTAAAAAGCAAATCCATTGGACTTTCCGTAGAAAAACATTTATTTTGCCTTAATTCATTGTAAGGGGATTCCCTTTGTATTTATATATAGTGTTATATGTGGCTCCAAGGGGATTTTCCACCCCTCCCTAGCTAGAGACCATTGTTGAAATAAACTCAATGGTTTAAAACTGGATTTGTTACTTTCTTTTAAAAAGAAAATTTATTATTCGTTTTCATTCATTAAAAAACCTTCTTTATACCATTATTTATTTATTCTTAATTAAAACAAAACACATTTTATTGATAGATATTTTGGTTCTTGCAACACATACCCCCCCCCCCCCCAAACAACGTGACGTACGGAAACCTCAATAAATCTGCCTCATTTGAACTGTTTATTCATCAAAGACTC